TCCAGAGCGCTCAGGACCTCAGACTGGGGCGAAGGTTCACCTTCAACAGGACAACGACCCTAAGCACACAGCCAAGACAACGCAGGAGTGGCTTCGGGACAAGTCTCTGAATGTCCTTGAGTGGCCCAGCCAGAGCCCGGACTTGAACCTGATCGAACTTCTCTGGAGAGACCTGAAAATAGCTGTGCAGCAACGCTCCCCATCCAACCTGACAGAGCTTGAGAGGATCTGCAGAGAGGAATGGGAGAAACTCCCCAAATACAGGTGTGCCAAGCTTGTACATCATACCCAAGAAGACTCAAGGCTGTAATCGCTGCCAAAGGTGCTTCAACAAAGTACTGATTAAAGGACTTACGTAAATGTAATTTTTCCGGGGGGGTTTTCAAATACATTTTCAAACATTTCTTGACCTGTTTTTCCATTGTCATTATGGGGTATTGTGTGTAAATTGATGAGGGAAAAAAACTATTTAATACATTTTAGAATAAGGCTGTAATGTAACAAAATGTGGAAAAAGTCAAGGGGTCTGAATAATTTCCAAATGCACTGAACGTGTTGGCTTTGGGGATGACCAGTGAGATATACCTGCTGGAACGCATACTACAGGTGGGTGTTGCTATGGTGACCAATGAGCTAAGATAAGGCGGGGATTTGCCTAGCAGAGATTTATAGATGACCTGGAGCCATTGGGTTTGGCGACGAATATGTAGTGAGGGCCAGCCAACGACAGCATACAGGTCACAATGGTGGGTAGTATATGGGGCTTTGGTGACAAGACGGATGGCACTGTGATAGACTACATCCAATTTGCTGAGTAGAGTGTTGGAGGCTATTTTGTAAATGACATCGCCGAAGTCAAGGATTGGTAGGATAGTCAGTTTTACGAGGGCATGTTTGGCAGCATGAGTGAAGGAGGCTTTGTTGCGAAATAGGAAGCCGATTCTAGATTTAACTTTGGATTGGAGATGCTTAATGGGAGTCTGGAAGGAGAGTTTACGGTCTAACCAGACACCTAGATATTTGTAGTTGTCCACAAATTCTAAGTCAGACCTGCCGAGAGTAGTGATTCTAGTCTGGCGGGCGGGTGCAAGCAGCGTTCGATTGAAGAGCATGCATTTAGTTTTACTAGTGTTTAAGAGCAGTTGGAGGCTATGGAAGGAGTGTTGTATGGCATTGAAGCTCGTTTGGAGGTTTGTTAACACAGTGTCCAATGAAGGGCCAGATATATACAAAATGGTGTCGTCTGCGTAGAGGTGGATCTGAGAGTCACCAGCAGCAAGAGCGACCGTTGATATACACAGAGAATAGAGTCGACCCGAGAATTGAACCCTGTGGCACCCCCATAGAGACTGCCAGAGGTCCAGACAACAGGCCCTCCGATTTGACACATTGAACTCTATCTGAGAAGTAGTTGGTGAACCAGGCGAGGCAGTCATTTGAGAAACCAAGGCTATTTAGTCTGCCAATAAGAATGCGGTGATTGACCGAGTCGAATGCTTTGGCCAGGTCGATGAAGACGGCTGCACAGTACTGTCTTTTATTGATCGCGGTTATAATATCGTTTAGGACCTTGAGCGTGGCTGTGGTGCACCCATGACCAGCTCGGAAACCAGATTGCATAGCGGAGAAGGTACGGTGGGATTCGAAATGGTCGGTGATCTGTTTATGAACTTGGCTTTCAAATACTTTCGAAAGGCAGGGCAGGATGGATATAGGTCTGTAACAGTTTGGATCTAGATTTCGGCGACTCATTTTAGAAAGAAAGGGTCCAGATTGTCTAGCCCAGCTGATTTGTAGGGGTCCAGATTTTGCAGCTCTTTCAGAACATCAGCTATCTGAATTTGGGTGAAGGAGAGGGGGGGGGGCAAGTTGCAGCGGAGGGTGCAGAGCTGGTGGCCGGGTAGGGGTAGCCAGGTGGAAAGCATGGCCAGCCGTAGCAAAATGCTTATTGAAATTCTCGATTATCGTACATTTATCGGTGGTGATAGTGTTTCCTAGCCTCAGTGCAGTGGGCAGCTGGGAGGAGGTGCTCTTATTCTCCATGGACTTTACAGTGTCCCAAAACTTTTTGGAGTTAGTGCTACAGGATCCAAATTTCTGTTTGAAAAAGCTAGCCTTTGCTTTCCTAACTGATTGTGTATATTGGTTCCTGACTTCCCTGAAAAGTTGCATATCGCGGGGGCTGTTCGATGCTAATGCAGTACGCCACAGAATGTTTTTGTGCTGGTCAAGGGCAGTCAAGTCTGAACCAGGGGCTATATCTGTTCTTAGTTCTGATTTTTTAAAATGGGGCATGCTTATTTAAGATGGAGAGGAAAGCACTTTTAAAGAACAACCATGCATCCTCTACTAACGGAATGAGGTCAATATCCATCCAGGATACCCGGGCCAGGTCAATTAGAAAGGCCTGCTCGCTGAAGTGTTTTAGGGAGCGTTTGACAGTGATGAGGGGTGGTCGTTTGACCGTGGACCCATTTCGGACACAGGCAATGAGGCAGTGATTGCTGAGATCTTGGTTGAAGACAGCGGAGGTGTATTTAGAGGGTAAATTAGTCAGGATGATATCTATGAGGGTGCCCATGTTTACGGATTTAGGGTTGTACCTGGTAGGTTCCTTGATAATTTGTGTGAGATTGAGGGCATCTAGTTTAGATTGTAGGATGGCCGGGGTGTTCTGCATATCCCAGTTTAGGTCACCAAGCAGTACGCACTCTGAGGATAGATGGGGGGCAATCAATTCACAGGATGGTTGCTTACATTAAGCTTGCTAGATCAGGATGGTTCGTACGAGGCTACCAATTCGGTTCCTTTTGAGAAGTGTAAATTGGTCCAAAAAAAGTTTGATTTCACCTTGTTTTAACATTCTGTCACAGAGCACATGTTCAACTTCATAAAAACATGTTTTCCCATTTAAATACAAAAAGTACTACAGTAATGCCTATTAAGTGACAAAGTAACAGGGTTGACTATTTCATTTTAAATCATCTATAAATCCCAGTGTGACAGGGGGAATGGAAGCTTGTTGTGTGCAACAGGGATTGGCATTTGAATGCAAGCTTCACCAAAAAAATGAAATTGCTAAAACATTTCTAGCCTGTCTATCTATGAGTAACAGGCTCGACCCGCTCAGTTTTCCACCACAAAACACCAGAAAATGCTTTAACTATATGATTTTACTTTTAGATGTTCAATGTTTCTTTTGAAAATAATATTTAAAAATGAATAATTTCACCATATTAAAACGAGAGTTCAGTTCACTTAACAGGGTTGACCTTAAAGTGACACAGAGGGACAGAGGGACATCACAAAATGCTGAATTTTTTAACTTTAACAAGCCTGTATTCATATAGAAAATCTTTATTGAATTCTCCATGTGGTCTATATTAAGGGGCACTTCATTTAATTCAACACATTTTAAAAACGCAAAAGGCACGACACTACTGCTGTCACAGATGCATATCAGAGGTGCACCTGTCGAGTTATTTGTATAATATCAGAGTGGTTGGAAACCAGAGGGCGCATTCTAGTGGATCACTTTTGTCAAGTTGGTGACCATCTTTGATATCACCGCCTTTCAAAGTGTGTTGCACTCTGGGGATAAAAATTGTCTACACGTCGACTGCATGAAAATCATGTGATCAAAGATCATTAAGTTTTGACTGCAGTCGACTGCAATTTTCTGCAGTTTTTCTACACCAACCTCGTCCTGCAGCCATCGCCTGCACTGTGGGAGGCTCTATTGTCAACCAATCATTAGGGTCTTTATTTTTGACCCACGCGAACGTGACCGAAGACATGACTGAAACATGAACCAATTTGCCATGTAAGTGGATATGTACAAATGAATGTGATATTTGAAGCTCTCTCTCACTAATTTATTGTACAATGTGTACACAAATAATATTCAATTAGGATTTCAGTTCGTGAGTGTACGATATGGGGGTTAGATACGTTCTAAAAAAAACGTTTAAAAGCAATGGTAACAATGCCATGTTGATCTGGGCCTGGTTTCCCAAAAGCATCTTAAGGAGCCTTGCTGTTAAAAAAAACCACATTAGTGTCTGACTTTCGGCTGTCGCAGACGCACCTCCCACGACTTAATTCCTCGACTTTCATCTACGGTCGGTTGCTTTAGCCTTACCACTCAAACGCACCCAGAGTCAGTTGCAGTGCAGTGCCTCTTGAGCCAGCAGCAGGAGATAATAATAATAATAATATGCCATTTAGCAGACGCTTTTATCCAAAGCGACTTACAGTCATGCGTGCATACATTTTTTTTTTTGTGTACGGGTGGTCCCGGGGATCGAACCCACTACCTTGGCGTTACAAGCGCCGTGCTCTACCAGCTGAGCTACAGAGGACCACAGAGATGGCATGTAGGGCAGGTGTTAACCTCTCCAGGGACCCCAGCCATTCCATGTATTTGATCTATTCTAGCGCTAGCACACCTGATTTAACTTGCCAACTAATCGTCAAGCCCTTGATCAGTGAAACAGGCAAGCTAGTTCAGGGCTACAATAAATGTATGAAATGCTTGGGGGTCCATGAAGAGAGGTTTGAAAACCCCTGATCTAGGGTACTGATGCCAGAAACCCTCTAGTTGGCAGCTCACTTCCTGCCAGGTTTTCCTGTCTGACTCAGGATTCGAATTTTTAATCTTATCAATCTAACAATATGTAGATAGATACATAGGCTACTAAATTGGCAAATGAGATGGCAGTCTGTTTGAGATCTAGAATGTTGCGCAGCGGTGTGGCACATTTGACGCTCTTGAACAGTCAATCCGAAGCAGCTGTTTCCGAACGGCTTCCACTGCGCGTTCACAGGCAACTTTATGTTTTGATTCGGTCAGCTGATATTCTGATAGCTAGCTTGGTAAAGCTTTGCAAGTAAAACCACAGACACTCAATTCGCATTATAACGTTTGCCCTTGACCAGCTACTAGTATTTACTCACATTCGTTTTCTATCAAACCCGTGGAAGCTAACACAGTGCTGATGATGTCGTAAGAAGAGCTGTTAAGCAACTCAAGGTAGCGACAGTAGCGTAGACAACCGTAGCGTTTTTTTTGCTAGCTAGCTAACTAATTTTAGTCCAGTTGACCTTGTATTGGCACTAAACCAATATTAGCGATGTCTTGTTAGTTGGTGCTTTTCTTTGTTTAGAAGGCTGTCATGCTAAGGTCACAGGAGTGTAGGCTTCATACAAGTTGATATTTTGGCTAAAGCTGGCCTGCTTAGATAGCTAGTTAGCTACCTAACTAGCTAGTCATTTTATCCAGTTATAAAGACTAGCTATAGCCCAAAGGCCAGCATATGGCGATATTGAAACGGCTCAATATTGCCATCTGTCATCTGCCGGTCTTTGGGCTAGACTAGCTATATAGTTAGACAGGTCATATGTTGATAGTGTATCTAAATTTTCCCAGTTAACCCAATTTGCATGGTTTTGTTAACTACATTGTTGTGACACTAGTCACTCTGCTGCAGCATGTGGTCAACCAAGGATATCTACAGTTTCAACCCCAGTTTATGTGTGTGTACTGTGTACGTGTGGGTGTTCCTACAGGATGGAGAGTCAGGAGTCATCCTGTTCCTCAGCAACACCAGAGAGAAGCTCCAACCCTCCAGAGCCAGTCAGGTCCTCGACCCCCAAACACAGGAAGTCACCTAAGAGACGACGGGAGGAGAAGAGGTCCCAATGCCATCATCTCAGGGAACACCTGTTACTGCCCGACAGCGAGCAACGCAGGTTGCCGGGCCAACACGAACACTCCGAGCCCTCTGGGTCTTCGACGGCGGAGATGGCAGAGACCTCCCCTAAAAGGTGTGTGTCTGAGAGACGCAGGTAGCCTGGGACAGTAGTCTCTTTCAGTAGCTGCTTGGTGTGCTGTCTTGTCTATAGGATTTGTCAAGACAGCACAAAAAGATCTGGGACCAGGCTAACATGAGACTACTGGGACAATAATGCCATTATAGCAAAAGTACTGCCTAGGGTAGCTAGCTGGACATGCTGTAGTCACAGTACTGCCTTAGGGTAGCTAGCTTGGACATGCTGTAGTCTCACAGTGATTACTTGCAACCTTTTAGATTAGGTTAGGAGGACGACACTCTTGTATGACTCCTCTGTATGGACGCTATGTCGGACTCTCGTTGACTCTGTCTGTCTGTCTGTCTGATTCTGTCTGTCTGTCTGATTCTCTCTCTCTCTCTGTCTGTCTGTCTGTCTGGCTGACTCTCTCTGTCTGTCTGTCTGACTGTCCTCATTTCTACCTTCTACAGGAGAGCTCACTTTCTCCATGGACCTTATCCTGCCACTCACTTTGGACCCAAAGCCTGTATTCTTCCTAACCCAACCTCAGTCATGTAAGTCATTGGTGTGTGAAGTTCATTGCACGTACAGTACAAACTGAATGGGATCTGGAATGTGTTTCCCTCGCTGTCTTTGTTATTTTAATTATGTAATTTGGCATTGAATCCTTTACCTAACTGTCCTAGTATCAGGAGGTAAGATGATCATTAAGGACAGGGCTGTGATTGGGTAGTATTGTCCTATGAACCGGTACTGTGAGTCAGGACCAGGGGCGGTGTGTTCATTAGGGCGATATGGGCGACACACTGCCAAACGGGAAAAGGAAGGGATTTTTTTTCTAATCAATTATATCACGGCAACAGTAGTTACGATAATCTCCTTTTATGCACTCAGACATGCGTTGGTTGTACCAACTGGCTAACGGCCATCAGGTCGCTAACGGCCTGGTACCCAGCGCTCTATTGTCCCTCTAACCATCAGGTCGCTAACGGCCATCAGGTCGCTAACGGCCTGGTACTACAGCAGCTCTATTGTCCCTCTAACCATCAGGTCGCAACGGCCATCAGGTTCGCTAACGGCCTGGTACCCACGCTCTCATTGTCCCTCTAACCATCAGGTCGCTAACGGCCTGGTACTCAGCGCTCTATTGTCCCTCTACCACTCTGACATCAATGCAAATGCAAACAAAAATCACATCAAACACTTATCATCAAAACGTATCATGCTTTAAAAACTTACCTCGCTGTGATTGATCAATTTGAAGAAAGAATTCAACACAGGTTGAAACTGAGTGTAAAACCTGGTTGTTGTGGATGTTGTTTCAAAGCCTAAATAATGAAATGGACAGCGCTTTCTCTAAGGTGATGATTCTACACAGACACAGCTGGTGCTTGTGCTGAGGTACATAGATAGCAACCACAAAGTGCAGGAGCGCTTTTTTGAGTTCCTTCCCATCTCGGAATCAACCTCGGTCTCAATCGCCAGTGTGCTTTTGGAGAGACTGAACTGTCTTTTTGCCGACGACGAGAAAGTCAAACTGTGGTGCACTGGCACTGTACCAGGTTCTCATGAGCTACAACCTCCAGGAGACGTTCTCTGAGACTGTGACTCTGTTGAACATCCTCATAACTACTCCCATGACAACAGCTGAAGCTGAGAGATGTTTCTCAACTTTGACACGAGTTAAGACATTCCTGCGAAATTCAATGGGCCAGGAACGTCTGAATGCACTGGCCATCCTTTCCATGGAGAGGGAACTAGTCCTCAGCATGCCTGATTTCAATGAGAAAGTCATTGACCGCTTTGCTGCATTGAAAGAGAGAAGAGAACAGTTTCAGTACAAGTAATGTAGCCTCTCTCTCTCTTTGTCCCTCCCTGTCTGTCTCTTTAACACACACACGCCCAAATCAGTTCACAGTTGATGTTGTTTAAAATAGTTATTTTTCATTTTTAAAAAAGTAAAAAAAAAAAAAAAATCTGTTCATGTTCATTTTTACAAATCTATACAATTGGCCAGAATATGGTTGTTCATATTTACAAATCTATACAATTGGCCAGAATATGGTTGTTCATTTTTACAAAGCCATACAGATAGCTGTGTTTACCTTTTCTAGAAATTATTTTCAAATTCTGTTTTCAGGCAAAATGTCTATCACTGTTCATTTTCACAAATCTATACAAGAGGGCAGAATATGGAAGTCTATAAAAATTTCTTATTACCAATAACTTGCATCAATGTTTTCAGTAGCCTCTATCAAAAGCTCCTGCTTGCTTGTTGTGAATTATGCTCAGGTGCACATATTTCCAATTCAACCATGAGGCAAAAAATGTGGTAAAAGCTCTTGTTGATCCTGCAATCTGAACAAATACCAAGATGCTGTATTTTCAGCTGATATTTCATTTGTTTATGGAAATGCATATTGTTTATGCAGTGTTGAGGAATGTGAAAGAACACCCTTGATTATTTTTACTGTGATAACTTATTTTGCTTTTGTAAGCCAACACTTTTGAGATCAGTCAATAAATGCTTCTGGCATTGACTTATATGCTGCCCCTGTCTTCATGTTGTTGCTGGACATATCTTTTTTTAAAATGTGTGTAGGTCACCTAAATCATCAGAAAAATTGCCCCCCCTGAGAATTTTTTCAGGAGCCGCCACTGGTCAGGACACACAGGGTGCTTGGTTGCAGAGGGTCTAGCCTTAGGCTGTTGCTGTGACCGTATTACCGCCACACCGGCTGTCATGAGTCATGACCGCAGTAAAATTCCACGTGACCGTTGAGTCACGGTAATCTCCTTTTATGCACTCAGGACATGCGTTGGTAGTACCCAACTGGCTAACGGCCATCAGGTCGCTAACGGCCTGGTACTCAGCGCTCTATTGTCCCTCTAACCACTCTGACATCAATGCAAATGCAAACAAATATCACATCAAACGCTTATCATCAAAACAGTATCATGCTTTTAAAAACTTACCTCACTGTGATTGATCAATTTGAAGAAAGAAGTTCAACAACAGGTTGAAACTGAGTGTAAAACATGGTTGTTGTGGATGTTGTTTCAAAGCCTAAACAATGAAATGGACAGCGCTTTCTAAGGTGATGATTCATTCAAAACACCCATACTATTAGAGCTTATGCAGAGGCCTATATATGAGCCCAAGCCCCCCCCCCCCCAAAAAGCCCTGAATTAAAATAATGATTGTGCCATTGTACAATACATAGCCTATATATTACGCAAGGCAGAAAAAAAGACAGATTTAAGATGTCTTTGGTACATAATTGGTCTAGCCTATACTCCAAAATTAAACTAATTCTAGTAATGGCCTTTGAGTGTGGACAGTATTATTATGCATGCTGGATGGACTGGTTACCTTATGCCATAGGGCATTTTTCATATTTTTATAATTGATAGGCTGACACATTACCTTTTAGCTTTAGAATATCTCACCACTGTGCGTTTCCATCTCCTCTCTCTCTCTCTCCTTCCGTTCTCCAGCGTGCAGAGCGAGAGGGGCTGTCAACAGTTTAATGAAATATGTTTCGTTGTGGAAACATGTTACTATCGATGTTCCCGAACAGATTTAGCTTTGGTTTCCCAAATTAAGCACTGGGTAGCTGCAAGAACAGGGTTGGAGAGCCCCATGGCATACAGAGTTTGGGTGGAATATCACCTGTCGCACAGCGAGAGGCTGCATGCTCCTACCCAGCATGATTGAAAAACGAACTGGGGGGGGAAAGCGGCCTCCATTCACTATTTGAGTGCATACGGAGGACATGTATTTTCCCCCATGCCCCTCTTCCTGCACATTTCATAATGGGCCATTCTAAATCAAAACTAATTTTACATATTAGTAAAGACAACATTAAATTGAGAATAGTCTGATGGGTGAAAATATGATCACTTGAGAGAACAGCGTGTGCAGCCTGAGGCAAGGAACAGAGCACAAGCTTCTTTTTTTTTGTGACTTTCTCAAATCGTCAATAGCCTATAGTCACATCATGCAGCCCATATACACTGGACAAAAATATAAAGGCAACATGTAAAGTGTTGGTCCCATGTTTCATGAGATGAAGTAAAAGATCCCAGAAATGTTCCAATATTATTTCTCTCAAATTTTGTGCACAAATTTGTTTACATCCCTGTTTGTGAGCATTTCTCCTTTGCCAAGATAATCCATCCACCTGACAGGTGTGGCATATCAAGAAGCTGATTAAACAGCATGATCATTACACAGGTGCACCTTGTTCTGGGGACAATAAAAGACCACTCTAAAATTTGCAGTTTTGTCACACAACACAATGCCACAGATGTCTCAAGTTTTGAGGGAGCGTGCAGTTGGCATGCTGACTGCAGGAATGTCCACCAGAGCTGTTCCCAGATAACAGGACAGTTACAACCTGAGTAAATCCTGCTCATTGCTCATGGATCGCTCCAGCGCTCCACGTCCTTTCCAACCACTCCGCTCCGCGCTCACAAAAAAAGTAATAAATGCCGCTCCAAATTCACTCCATTAATTAAAATCACAATTTAACCAACACCCATCTATTTTTGTGACTACCTGGACCTACCATTTGGTTTTGAAGTATTGAAACCAAACCATATGGATTTGAATGAAAAGTATTTGAATATACAGTGCATTTGGAAAGTATTCAGACACCTTCCCCTTTTCCACATTTTGTTACGTTAATAATAATAATAATAATGCCATTTAGCAGATGCTTTTATCCAAAGCGACTTAGTCATGTGTGCATACATTTTTAATTATTATTATCATTATTATTTATTCTGGGGAAGGGTACCAAAACATTTCTGCAGCATTGACAGTCCCCAAGACCACAGTGGCCTCCATCATTCTTAAATGGAAGAAGTTTGGAACCACCAAGACTCTTCCTAGAGCTGGCCGCCTGGCCATACTGGTCATGGTCTGAGAGTCTTTAGGTGCCTTTTGGCAAACTCCAAGTGGGCTGTCATGTGCCTTTTTTACTGACGAGTGGCTTCCGTCTGGCCACTCTACCATAAAGGCCTGATTGGTGGAGTGCTGCAGAGATGGATGGCCTTCTGGAAGGTTCTCCCCTTTCCACAATGGAACTCTGGCGCTCTGTCAGAGTGACAATCGGGTTCTTGGTCACCTCCCTGACCAAGACCCTTCTCCCCCGATTGCTCAGTTTGGCCGGGCGGCCAGTTCTAGGAAGAGTCTTGGTGGTTCCAACATTCTTCCATTCAAGAATGATGTAGCCACTGTTTTCTTGCGGACCTTCAATGCTGCAGAAATGTTTTCGTACCCTTCCCCATATCTGTGCCTCGACACAATCCTGTCTCGGAGTTCTACGGAGAATTCCTTCGACATCATGGCTTGGTTTTTGCTTTGACATGCACTGTCAACTGTGGGACCTTATATAGACAGTTGTGTGCCTTTCCAAATCATGTCCAATCAGTTGAATTTACCACAGGTGGACTCCAAGTTGTTGAAACATCTCAAGGATGATCAATGGAAACAGGATGCACCGGAGTTCAATTTCGAGTCTCATAGCAAAGGGTCTGAATATTTATGTAAATAAGGTATTTCAGTTTATTTGTAATACTTTTTTTTATTTTATTCTAAAAACCTGTTTACACTTTGTCATTATGGGGTATTGTGTGTGTGTGTAGATTGATGAGGAAAAAATAATAATTTAATCAATTTTAGAATAAGGCTGTAACGTAACAAGGTGGAAAAACAAGGGGCCCCGTGTAGCTCAGTTGGTAGAGCATGGCGCTTGCAACGCCAGGGTTGTGGGTTCGATTCCCACAGGGGGGCCAGTATGAAGAAAATAATAATAAAGAAATAAAATGTATGCACTCACCCATTGGGCCACTCTTCCCAGGCAGAGATGCAGAGTTGGTTATTTTATTTTTCTATAGGTAGGTTTTTTCTTAAAGGTTTTTAGGCAAAATAACCCAAACAAAACGGAAAGCTTCTTGAACAGGAAGTTTACATTCTGTCAAACATGTTATTGTTATATGTCATGGATCCTATGGAGGGAGGCAAAGGGCAACAGTCTGGTTTCAGTCACTGATAAGGTAGGACAGCTGTGGAGTCGGGAGGAGTGAGGATTTCGGCCCGAGGTCAGATGAAGTGAGAAGGAACAGTCCTATTGCACATAAATATACTTCCACGCCCACCTCCTTCCTTTCTGTTAGCATGTGCATGTAGTAAGTACACCATCATGCTTTCGGGATACGTGTCTTTTCAGATTCCACAGTGATTCTTTAGTTGTGGACACTACATCACCACACTCCCTCTCTTGGTCTCGGTCCTCATCTTTGTAAGTCACCTTGATTTAGCACCTGTGTGTGTTTTATCAGTTCCTTTATGAAAATATTTAGCAAACTCCATGACAGTAGCTAAAGCAAGGGGCTATTAGCAGCACACAAGTAGACTACAATGCATGCTGGGCCGGGCATGCCCTGAGCTCGTGAAGTGAGCTCTACTGGAGCGAAATTGGAGCCGGTGAGAAGGCCGACCCTCCAGCCTTCGGGAATCTCGCTCCGCGCTACAGTTAAATTGGGCACGCTCCTCGCTCCGCTCACATACTCTGCTACTGGCCCGCTGAAGAAGTGTGCTCTTCACGGGTGAATCTTGGTTTCAACTGTACCGGGCAGATGGCAGACAGTGTGTATGGTATCATGTGGACGTGCTGGTTGGTGATGTCAACGTTGTGAATAGAGTGCCCCATGGTGGCGGTGGGGTTATGGTATGGGCAGGCGTAAGCTACGGACAACGAACACAATTGCATTTTATCGATGGCAATTTGAATGCACAGAGATACCGTGACGAGATCCTGAGGCCCATTGTCGTGCCATTCATCCGCTGCCATCACCTCATATTTCAGCATGATAATGCACGGCCCCATGTCACAAGGATCTGTACACAATTCCTGGAAGCTGAAAATGGCCCAGTTCTTCCATGGCCTGCATGCTCACCAGACGTGTCACCCATTTGAGCATGTTTCTGATGCTCTGGATCGAGGTGTACGACAGCGTGATCCAGCTCCCGACAATATCCAGCAACTTCGCACAGCCATTGAAGAGGAGTGGGGCAACCTTCCACAGGCCACAATCAACAGCCTGATCAACTCTATGTGAATAAGATGTGTTGCGCTGCATGAGACAAATGGTGATCACACCAGATACTGACTGGTTTTCTGATCCACGCTTCTACTTTTATTTTTTATTTTTTTTAAATGTATCTGTGACCAACTGATGCATATCTGTATTCCCAGTCATATGGAATCCATAGATTAGGACCTAATGAATTTATTTCAATTGACTGATTTCCTTATATGAACTATAACTCAGTAAAATTGTTGAAATTGTTGCATGTTGCGTTTTATTTTTGTTCAGTGTATGTTTTGAATTCTAAGACATTCTTAGGTTTGTATCATTCACAACTAAAGTTGCCAAAAAACTCTAAATCTCGCGTATAGGACCTGTTTCAAGTGATGACTTTTACGCTCAACATAGCCACTTCATATGCGTACTCTCTCTGGAATAGAAAAAAATATCCTTTGTATTTTATTCAGCTAAGTTCAATTATATTCTTCTCACTATAAAATCATATAATATAAAAATAATGGCACAGATTTATAAGCATATCTTGTCTGCTAAATGAACTAGTCTACATCCTAGGCTGCCATTGGCATGGCGCATAGCCAGATAACTCATATTCTGTTCTTCTGAAATACATTTTCTTCATATCATATGATGTTTCTTTAGACCTGCCTAAAATAATGGATTTATTGTGATGGTGGATATTAAATTGAGTTATTATACTAAAATGTGTATGTTCCAAAAGCGCGCATTAGCTGCTTGTATGAAGGAGGCTTGTATGTGTGGAAGCCTCGAGATGCTGAGCTTGCTTATATTAACGGTCAATTACCATGAGACAGGCAGGCTTTTGCATGACAATACCCACCCTACACACACACACACACACACACACACACACACTGTCCATCTACACAGTAAAGATAAATAATCCACCCTGGGATCTGGTGAGACTGACTAGCTGTGGAGTTTGGACTTTGTTATCTAATTCTGTATTTACAATGTTAATGAATGACTGTTTAGAACAGCCTCAATTTTTTTTGAAAATGAGGGATTCTTTTCAGCGCAACCACCGGACTTCGTGTAAATGGTAAAAATAAGGAAATTCAAGACTAGATCTAAAAATGTCTTTTTGGTAAAGCGGTATGTGGAATCGGCCCATGGACGTGTGTGTAGCTACACTGTTCTGTGCCTGATGTTGTGAGGCGAACTGTAAAATGTGTAGGTAAATGTAGGTAACTTTTTTTTTAATGAAGTTTGATTTGATGGTCTGGTGCGTGGGTTTGTGTTGTGTTGTCGTCCTCAGGCACATCCAGGATCCGGCCAGTCAGCGCCTGACGTGGAACAAACCTCCAGTCAACGTTCTGGTCATCAGGAAGATACGAGACGAGAGCCTGGTGGAACCGTTCAAAGAACTCTGCCGCTTCCTTGTTGAGGTACTGTATCGTAGAGTTGAAGTGAGTGAGTGTGTCTGCTTGCACGTTGTTGTTTATGATGTGTTCAACCAGTTTGAATAGGAACTATGTACATTATCAATGGTAGAACTATAGAAATCAATGCAGTTTTAGAAATATCTCTCTTGGTGGAAGCATGTAGTCAGAATGTAATGAAAGCATTCATTTTGTAGTCTTTGCTTGTCTCATACATGCAAAGATGATATCAGACTGTTCAGTCCTAATCAGTTCTACTGGGTACCTGCCAGGGTTGGCGTTTTCAATTCAGTATCGAGGAAGTGAAGTGACGTTCCAGGTCCATGTTTTCCAGGAGAAGCAGATGATGGTGTATGTGGAGAGGAGGGTTGTGGCTGACGTCTCCCTCACTACGGACGAGACCTTCGCCTCAATCCGAAACCAACTCTGTACCTTCAGAGAAGGTAACAAACACCCATAACATCCACCCAGCAGTCTGTCAGATCCATTCCTCTCCAGCCAAACGGTTCCAGTAAACGCGTGTGTTGGGTTACACGGCTACAACATATAGTTATACTGAAAGCCAGCCCTCCTGACCTGTGTTTCCTATCCAGGTTATGATGACATCTCTCACTGTATTGACCTCATCATATGTCTGGGAGGAGACGGGACTCTACTCTACGCCTCCTCTCTCTTCCAGGTACCCACTAACACATACAGTACACCAGGGGTTGGCAACCCTGTTCCTGGGCAACCCTGTTCCTGGGCAACCCTGTTCCTGGGCAACCCTGTTCCTGGGCAACCCTGTTCATGGAATGCCTCAGGTACTGCAGGATTTTGTTCCAACTAGGCATCACAGCTGACCGACTGAGCTAATTGATCAGTTCAGTGATTGCCTAAATTCAACAACACCTGGTCTTCCAGGTCAGTTAAACCAAAAACATGACGTTCCTGCGGCCCCCCAGGACCAGGGTTGCCTAGCCCTGCTCTGCAGTTTACTGGGGGCGGGGGTGGGGGCTCTCTATGTACTCAGAAACAGACCCAGTATAGCAGGGTTTTGCTCCAGCCCTGCTCTAACACAGTGGTTTCAAACTGTGGTTTTATTCGTTTCTTTTTTTTTTCTTTAATGGAACTCAGTCATGTTTTAACCTTACTCTTGAAAGTTGTAATAGTAGAACGCACAAGGTGCAATTTCGAAATTGGGTAGGGCATCATTGTCCAGATCAGAAATGTCCAGATCAACTAGCCCATGTCAGCCGTTTTTATATTAGGTTTTGTAGCACATAGATATTATTGTAATTTTTTCGTCACTCAAATATCACAAATACACATTAGACATGACAAAATGTGTAGAATTGCAGGAAATAAGCCCCAACACTGGAAGGGAGGGGGGGGGGAAGGGGTGCCCCGAGTGAAAAGGTTTGGGAACCCCTGAGTTATAGTATGCTCTAACACCTGCTTAATCTAACCAGGGTCTTGTACTTGTGTGGTTCAGGGCAGGCTGGCTGTGTGTGTTTGGTGATGAGTGGCTGTCTGGGTTCCGTCTGGGTTCCGTCTGGGTTCCGTCTGGGTTCTGTCTGGGTTCCGTCTGGGGCAGTGTGTTTGGGTTAGTCGTCATCATTGTCTCCATGTTAATCTTCACCATCATCGTCACCACCATCATCATCATCGTACTTGGAACAGAACAGAATGACGTGAAGACGTGATGTTGAGTTGTCTGTTTTCATTGGCCAGACTTTGTGTGCATCCCAAATGGCACCTCAGTCCCTACATAGCTCACTACTTTTTGAACAGGGCCCATAGGGGGACAGAGTTATTGTAATGGCTGAAATGGAATCAACATGACTTGGCTTCCATTCCAGCTACCTCAGCTGGTAGAGCACGGCGCTTGTAACGCCAAGGTAGTGGGTTCGATCCCCGGGACCACCCATACACAAAAAAAATGTATGCACGCATGACTGTAAGTCGCTTTGGATAAAAGCGTCTGCTAAATGGCATATTATATTATTATAATGAGCCTGTCCTCCTATAGCTCCTCCCACCAGCCTATTCTGTCTGGAACTAGGAAATGATGACAGATGCTTTATTCTCCGTCATATTTCCAGTACTTATAGCTACAATTACATTTGTCATTTAGTAGACGCTCTTATCCAGAGCTACTTACAGAGCAATTAGGGTTAAGTGCCTTGCTCAAGGGCACATCGACCAACGGTCTTAACCGCTAGGCTACCTACCGCCCTATGTTTTTCTCTCTTCTCTTTCTCTCTCTCCCCGTCCATCTCTCTCTCTCAGGGCAGTGTTCCTCCAGTTATGGCGTTCCACCTGGGTTCTCTGGGTTTTCTGACACCGTTCAAGTTTGAATCATACAAGACAGAGGTGGCTAAAGTATTTGAAGGTAGAGGATTCCTTTCAAATTAAAATAAATAGTGCTGTCAATCAGTGATATATCTGCCAGTTCATGATCTGATGGATGTCTTTGTCTGTCTGTCTGTGTGTGTGTGTGTGTGTGTGTGTGTGTGTGTGTGTGTGTGTGTGTGTATTTACCTGTGTGTATCCGTATGTGTACCAGGTAATGCAGCCATCACGCTGCGTAGTCGTCTGAAGGTGAAGGTGGTGAAAGACATGCTCCAGAGGACAGGCCAGCCAGGCCAGCAGCAGTACCAGGGGACCGGGGCCCTGGGGTCTGGGGCCCTGGGGTCTGGGGCCCTGGGGTCTGGGGGCCTGGGGTCTGGGGCCCTGGGGTCTGGGGCCTGGGGTCTGGGGCCATGGGGTCTGGGGCCCTGGGGTCTGGGGGCCTGGGGTCCGGGGGCCTGGGGTCTGGGGGCCTGGAGTCTGGGGCCATGGGCCAACCTGGGGGCCACACCGGGGGCCAGCCAGACACAGAGCACAACGGTCTGCTGCAACATGGACACACCAACAGCGAGGCCGGGAAGGTTACCCTACAGATGCAGGTGAGACTGACTCCCTAACCCCAAGCTCCTAACCCTTAGGCACTAAGCACTAACCCCTTGTCCCTACTCCCTAGCAGAGCTCGAAGTTAAGGGCGTCCCGTCGTCCCGGGGACGATAAAAAAATGTCTGGTACGGTTCAAAACAGATGTTGGGACAGGTGCGGGACAATAGGCCAGAAAAATATAAAATGGATACAACAGTGGTTCCATACTAAAATGTTTAAACACAAAGACGAGGTTGATGAAACAGAATCACAACATTTAGCTTAAAAGTTGTTAAACTATGAATAATTCACATCACAAGCTCCAGCAATGTGTTCACTTGTCTCGGCCATATGTTCCAAAATACTATTACGAGAACGCCATTCTCAAACGAGCACCTGACGTGAGCGGTTTTTATAACGCGACAGAGATGGATATACAGCCTATTGACAGAAATGTAGAGGGAATATCTGAAGATGCAACAATAGGATTGTGCTTTACTGCCTTTGGACAGTAGAAGAAGAAATACTGGTTTCAACGGCATATCAGGAAATCTTTGCTTTTTGTCTATGGTGGGATTTTGGCTGTGGGCTATTAAAAACAAGGTAAAACGTCCAGGTTTCAAACAATGACATGGCTGGCTTGGCATTGCATATGTAATTATTTAGGTTATGGAAATGTATAATATTAAAATATCATTCCAATGTTGGGCAAATAGGCCTATTAGAATGGACATTTGACTCTCTCCCAGCCTGTCTGCGGCCCGGAGTTACTGTGGCATTTGCGTTGTCTATTGGCTATGGCTAGATACTATGGTATTCTAGAGAATATGGTTGTAAGGTGAATGCACCTGTTTGTAAGTCGCTCTGGATAAGAGCGTCTGCTAAATGACGTAAATGTAAATGTATCTCCCTGACCTGAACCGATGTGCACAGGCATAAAATGTTGTTTAATTTACTTGAAACGGAAGTCTACTGAAGTGAGACTCTGTCCTAGTTTCTTGGCTATTTACATTGTTTTGTTTACAAGCTAGGTTGTTTTTCAATGTTTGAGTTTCAACTGCTAGGGAAGAGAAAGCAGATACTAGTCAGACTCTCAATCTCACACATGACTGGAATCGCATTACCATGGTAACCTCCCGCCCTTAAAGGGGCAGGTGAACATTTTTGTCTCATCTGTGATGTTTTGGTTAAAAGACTCAGGTCACAAAAAATGAAATGAAACAATTATACCTCATTACTTCTTACTAGTAATACATGTATTGTTTTATGAACATTACAAAGCATGCTCATCTGTTTTTTCTGTGTTTTGTTGGTGTAATTTTAGCAAAATAAATATTTTGGGCTGGTAAGAAATCTTTAGTGGCGGTACATTTTTTTAATCTACCGGCCACAGTGGCTGGTGTACCAAAAAGTACATTTTAGGTCCTGGCCGTTAGCAAGTGGCGGCGCTCAAAAAGGTCAAGGCGACCATTCTTCAGTGACTGAAGAGGGAGGGTGAAGCAGAGAAAATGGCTGGGGAACACACACACACCTGTTCTTTATTGTATACTGTTGTGTTATGTTCAGTGGCGATTTTAGCATGTAAATCTTGGTAGGGCAAACTCAACTTATAAAAAATAAAATAAAATAAATCCATGCCAGCAAAGCCACAACACAACACTAAACAATACATTAATTGCACTATAACGGTGACAAACGGTGTCCACAAACTGTCAGGGCCTCCATAAAGCTGTCCCAACAGCAGAGCTTTCTTTTCAGCACCATGGAGTGAATCCTTACCACTGCTACACCTGGCTATCAGCGGAGCCTTGTCTGGCAGCGAAACAGTTCATTCAGCCTCATTTACTGCCTTTTAAAAAAAACCATAGCTGATATGGCTGACTTGCGTAAACAAGTGTGGTTTCTACTGACTCCTTGTGGATTTGTGTAAGTCGGTAAGATCCACATTCTCCTTCAGTCATAGCGAAGGCCAAAATGAGTTTTGAGTTTTGAACCCAAACAAATTACATTTTATGTTCAGTAAATTCATAATTTATTCCTATATCAGTAACTCTTAGCTCTCTACAGTGGGGAGAACAAGTATTTGATACACTGCCGATTTTGCAGGTTTTCCTACTTACAAAGCATGTAGAGGCCCGTCATTTTTTATCATAGGTACACTTCAACTGTGAGAGACGGAATCTAAAACAAAATTCCAGGAAATCACATTGTATGATTTTTTAAAAGTAATTAATTTGCATTTTATTGCATGACATAAGTATTTGATACATCAGAAAAGCAGAACTTAATATTTGGTACAGAAACCTTTGTTTGCAATTACAGAGATCATACGTTTCCTGTAGGTCTTGACCAGGTTTGCACACACTGCAGCAGGGATTTTGGCCCACTCCTCCATACAGACCTTCTCCAGATCCTTCAGGTTTCGGGGCTGTCGCTGGGCAATACGGACTTTCAGCTCCCTCCAAAGATTTTCTATTGGGTTCAGGTCTGGAGACTGGCTAGGCCACTCCAGGACCTTGAGATGCTTCTTACGGAGCCACTCCTTAGTTGCCCTGGCTGTGTGTTTCGGGTCGTTATCATGCTGGAAGACCCAGCCACGACCCATCTTCAATGCTCTTACTGAGGCAAGGAGGTTGTTGGCCATTATCTCGCGATACATGGCCCCATCCATCCTCCCATCAATACGGTGCAGTCGTCCTGTCCCCTTTGCAGAAAAGCATCCCCAAAGAATAATGTTTCCACCTCCATGTTTCACGGTTGGGATGGTGTTCTTGGGGTTGTACTCATCCTTCTTCTTCCTCCAAACACGGCGAGTGGAGTTTAGACCAAAAAGCTCTATTTTTGTCTCATCAGACCACACGACCTTCTCCCATTCCTCCTCTGGATCATCCAGATGGTCATTGGCAAACTTCAGACGGGCCTGGACATGCGCTGGCTTGAGCAGGGGGACCTTGCGTGCGCTGCAGGATTTTAATCCATGACGGCATAGTGTGTTACTAATGGTTTTCTTTGAGACTGTGGTCCCAGCTCTCTTCAGGTCATTGACCAGGTCCTGCCGTGTAGTTCTGGGCTGATCCCTCACCTTCCTCATGATCATTGATGCCCCACAAGGTGAGATCTTGCATGGAGCCCTAGACCGAGGGTAATTAACCGTCATCTTGAACTACTTCCATTTTCTAATAATTGCGCCAACAGTTGTTGCCTTCTCACCAAGCTGCTTGCCTATTGTCCTGTAGCCCATCCCAGCCTTGTGCAGGTCTACAATTTTATCCCTGATGTCCTTACACAGCTCTCTGGTCTTGGCCATTGTGGAGAGGTTGGAGTCTGTTTGATTGAGTGTGTGGACATATGTATTTTATACAGGTAACGAGTTCAAACAGGTGCAGTTAATACAGGTAATGAGTGGAGAACAGGAGGGCTTCTTAAAGAAAAACTTACAGGTCTGTGAGAGACGGAATTCTTACTGGTTGGTAGGTGATCAAATACTTATGTCATGCAATAAAATGCAAATTAATTACTTTAAAATCATACAATGTGATTTTCTGGATTTTTGTTTTAGATTCCGTCTCTCACAGTTGAAGTGTACCTATGATAAAAATTACAGACCTCTACATGCTTTGTAAGTAGGAAAACCTGCAAAATCGGCAGTGTATCAAATACTTGTTCTCCCCACTGTAAGTATAAGCTAGTGCAAGCACGTGAGCTGCGACGAGGTAGGCTTATTCATTCAGCACTTTCAAAATGGACACCGACAGAGTTTCAGATGTTAGTTCAGATAAATTCAGCAAGATGTTGAGGCCTTATCTTTACCCTTCTTTAAGTTGAGAGAGAGGGAGAGACTCGGTTAACCCTACCATTTGAACTATTTTATTAGGCCTGTGTGGTCTAAAAAGGAAGGAAAATACAATCATGAGGATCCACGTTTATAGACAATATACCGATGCACAGACAGCCATTGCACAAACAAAACAACCCTCGCTATTATCAACTGGAATCAGATGGGTCTATTACTGAACTTTCTGTTGAAAATAAATATTTGAACGGGAAGAGACTGTCACTGGCAACCATGGTTACAGACCCTACAACATTATATAGTATCCCCTCCTCGTGGTTACAGACCCTACAACATTATATAGTATCCCCTCCTCGTGGTTACAGACCCAACAACATTATATAGTATCCCCTCCTCATGGTTACAGACCCTACAACATTATATAGTATCCCCTCCTCGTGGTTACAGACCCAACAACATTATATAGTATCCCCTCCTCGTGGTTACAGACCCAACAACATTATATAGTATCCCCTCCTCGTGGTTACAGACCCAACAACATTATATAGTATCCCCTCCTCGTGGTTACAGACCACAATTATATAGTATCCCCTCCTCGTGGTTACAGACCCAACAACATTATATAGTATCCCCTCCTCATGGTTACAGACCCAACAACATTATATAGTATCCCCTCCTCGTGGTTACAGACCCAACAACATTATATAGTATCCCCTCCTCGTGGTTACAGACCCAACAACATTATATAGTATCCCCTCCTCGTGGTTACAGACCCAACAACATTATATAGTATCTCCTCTTCGTCAAGAAAAGCACATGAGCTAATTACAGTGAGGGGAAAAAAGTATTTGATCCCCTGCTGATTTTGTACGTTTGCCCACTGACAAAGAAATGATCAGTCTATAATTTTAATGGTAGGTTTATTTGAACAGTGAGAGACAGAATAACAACA